AGTGATATCACTAGGGATGTATGAATATACGAATTCGAATCAAATAGAAAGTTCCCGAATAATTCGATTCACGAATCGAATTCCTAGTATTTGGTCACTTGAATATTCAATATATTTGGTCAAAGACGCATGGTCGGTGCAGAGCTGACAGAAAAGCCATTTGTTCTCCCAATGTTAGCACCGCAATGTTAAACAGACCATGCGAGAAACACCACGAAAATCTAACGCACAGGTTAGATAAAAGAAAAGTAACGAACACCACAAACTTTATAGCACAGAGATTTACTCATGATCGTGACACAATCTACCCTTGAACCACAACCGAAACATCCCGTTTGTGCCGCTTCAAGAGAGGAATTATTGGGAGGCCGGAATTCCGCACCATGCCTAAATCTTTTCACGAGTAAAGCCCCTCGTTTCAAATTAAAGCGCCGATGTAGAACACACTTGCCACACTCACAGAAATCAGCAACTGCACGATCACAAAAAGAAAACCACGTTAACCACGCCGATGAAACCAGCCGGGTTATCATCGTCATTCTTTTAGAACCGCAAGCTGCAAATTCTGATTCGGAAGGAAACGGAACGGAAAAATAGTGTGCCTAGATTTGAGAGGGTTTCCGACCGTTTGATAGTCGCGTTTGAATTAAAAACTGCGAGAAGGTGACGAAAAGATGAAAGCGTTGATCGGGCACGCGTTGTCGCTCTTCCGTTTGCTCGCCTTCTTTCCACGCGGCAACACAACACATGCACACTTACGACCAATCTGTACAGGAGCTGCTTCTGTTGTTTCAGTTTTGCTAGCTCCCTTTTTTAAATCTAGGCTCTCTAAAACTGGATAGATGGATGGAGGAATGGATGTATAGTGGCAGTTGGACGGTGACTTGCGCCACCTAACCACATGATTTTTTTCTTACTTCAGATTATATTGTTTAAGCTTGTTTACTCAGATTTAACAGCTACAGTCTAAGCTCGTTATAACAGGCCTTCATCTTGACCAAGATTTCGGTCTGTTGTAAGAGGAGTATGTTGTATGCAGATATGAAGTTGAGTCAATGGTATGTAGAGGAAAATCAACCAAACATCATAAATCGGTATGTTATATCCAAATGTCTGTTGTAACCAGGTCTGTTGTAATGAGCGTAGACTGTATCTGTTTATTTATGTAAAATAAAATCCCGGGTGCCCTTTTTGTTCCTTAAAATTGAGACCAAACATTGCAAAATGCACCTTTTCTGAGAAATACAAATATAAAAAAAAGTTGCGGTGTTAGGTCATGCTTTTAACGAGAAAAAAAGGCACGCGTGGCTGTAACTTTGGGTTGTTTGTGGCGCTTAGGGTATTTAGGTTATGTTTGCGCCATAAAATTGTATCTTTAGTGCCCAAAGTCCAACAGCAACTGCTTTTTTTCTTTTTTTTTTACCAGAATTTTTATACATTTGGTCTTTTGTTCCATACGAGATGCATATTCTGTACAAAGCACATACTCTGCACATATAATAATCTCCTTCAGAGCACACCTTGAAAAATTCCTACAAATAAAATCGCTATTCGATATTCTATTCGATATTCGGCTTTTTATTTACAGCGTAGTTGTTAAGGGCTAGGTTCCCCAGGATCGTGTCCGGTATGTCGACACAAACCTACCTGGACAGCTACTGCCATCTATAAGCGACGGTGGCAAGCACACAACCAGTCTGGTTGCTGCCGTCGCTCATAGATGGCGGCAACCTTCCCAGCTATCATAGAAGAATGGATAGTTGGGCGCGTTGGTGGGAATTCATCGTAGGAAACAGCGCGAAAAACAGACGACGACGAAGGAGCACACAGTGTATAGAGTAAAGCTCCACTGGTCTTCCTTCTTCACGAAAATGGAAAGGCTGAACGTTTTCTTAACTCAATTCGGTATTCGATTCGAAAACTACTATTCGGTATTCGCACGCCTTTAGATGTCACCCTTCATAAATCACTGGGAGGCACGTATGAAAACATGGTGTACTTGTTATCCAAGAGAACTCAGGCCAAATCGCTCCTGCGAAAACTACTCATCGCAACGAAAAAAGGCTTGTGTCGTTTTGGTCCTGGGCCAGGGGAAAATTATTAAAGTCTTGGATAATTAAGTTGTTAATTATGTTTGCATAATTAACTTTTTTAATATTGTGTTTAAGGGCATGGTTTTAATTAGAAAATTGCTCAGCATCGTCAAAAAGCACTAAATCAACAAATTGCAGAACAATAGAAGGAAGGCGAAGCATTTTACGGCTTTCTGAAAAACCGCACAAAATCGACGGGTTTTTAAGTTTCGGTTTACTATCGGAGCGCATCTTGGCCCCGGCGGCACCGCGCCCCGTGGAGAGATAGTGCAACCAGCCTCTGCTGTGCTGTCATCGCGCGACGCAGCAGAGGCTGGTTGCACTATCTCTCCACGGGGCGCGGTGCCGCCGGGGCCAAGATGTGCTCCGATAGTAAACCGAAACTTAAAAACCCGTCGATTTTGTGCGGTTTTTCAGAAAGCCGTAAAATGCTTCGCCTTCCTTCTATTGTTCTGCAATTTGTTGATTTAGTGCTTTTTGACGATGCTGAGCAATTTTCTAATTAAAACCATGCCCTTAAACACAATATTAAAAAAGTTAATTATGCAAACATAATTAACAACTTAATTATCCAGGACTTTAATAATTTTCCCCTGGCCCAGGACCAAAACGACACAAGCCTTTTTTCGTTGCGATGAGTAGTTTTCGCAGGAGCGATTTGGCCTGAGTTCTCTGAAACACCCTGTATATATATATATCTTTCTCAGATTGTTTAGCACGGTATAGCGCCAAATTGAAATACCTCAAGAGAGGAGGAGGAGGAAAGCAGGGGAGGAAGAGGAGCAAAGGAGGAGGGGAGAAGGAGAGGGTACGGATCTACATAAACGATCTACTTTCTTGCGTTTCTTTTAACATTCTCTCGTTTGCCGATGACTGCGTGGTTTTTGGTGAAACAACTTGAGACAACGATATAACTATCCTTCAGTCGGACCTTAACAGCATCTCTGAATGGTGCAGAGCATGGTGTATGAACTTAAACGTTAATAAATGCAAATATATGCGCGTATCTAAAACTTTTGTTATATAAAACACTAATCCGTTCAAAACTTGAATATGCTTCATCTGTGTGGGATCCTTACCTAGAAACCGTTCACTTGAAATGGTTCAAAGTAATTCAGTTTGTTTTATCCTATTTAACTATAACAGAACTGCCAACATAAGCTCAATGAAATCTAGCCTCAACCTGCCAACCCTAGAATCTCGCCGTAAATTATTTCGACTATGTCTATTTCAGAAGCTCTTTCATCACCCATATCTGTGCCACAATTTTATTTTACCACTCCCATATATCTTGTCCAGATTGGATCATGCTCTTAAGGTTAGAATTCCACTCTGTAAAACTAATGCTTTTTATCAGTCCTTCTTCCCACGCACATCAGATGAGTGCAATCACCTTTCCGCACCAACGGCAGCCATCGAATATCACAATCTTTTCAAGAATGCCTTCACTATTAGTATTGTATAATTAGGAGCCTCTTATTTGTCTATACTAATAACTGTACAATGCTGTACTATTTTATGAAATGTAACCACTCCCCTCTATAATGCCTCGGGCCTTAAGGGTAAACAAATAAATAAAAATGTTCAGCCTTTCCACTCTCGAGAAGAAGGAAGACCAGTGGAGCTGTACTTGATACACTGCTGCAACGCGCACGTGCCCGTTTCCCGCTTCTTCTCGTCCGACACGCCGCCGATTGTGGATACGTCTCCGGCGACCCAGAGTTGGTCGCAGACGCCGCACGTGACGACAAATGGGTAATCCACGAACTCCCTCCGGAACATTGTCGTTGCCGGGCCTCGCGCTTGCACTTGGCCTCCAGGGCACGATCGCCGTCCATGGCATTGGTCCGACGGCGCCCTTTACATCGCTTATTCTGTTCTCAGTGGTGGCTTTCCAAGCGAGCGATCTGCTCTTCTTTGGCAAGGGAATCTCAAGCACTCGATGCAGTGGAAGTCGAGGCGACAGCGGCTTTGCGGCGGTTACGGACCTATTTGCGCTGCAGCGCATGTCGCCGCTCCTTGAGCAGCCAGTCTTCTTACCCTGAAAGGGCGCGCGGCCGACTCATCTCAAGTCCAAACAGAAACTGATAAGAGCGTAGGAAACAGCGCACAAAACAGACGCGGACCAAGAAACACACGTGACGAGCGCTGCACTCGTTGCATGTGCTTCTTCTTTGTCGTCGTCTGTTTTTCGCGCTGTTTCCTACGATGAATTCCCACCAACGCGCCGCCCAACAATCCATTCTTCAATGATAGCTGGAAAGGTGGGCGCCATCTACCAGCGACGGCGGAAACCATACTGGTCGTGTGCTTGCAGCCGTCGCTTATAGATGGCGGTAGCTGTCCAGAGGCGTTTTTGTCGACAAGCGTTTTGTACCGGACACGACCCTCGGGAACCTAGCCCTTAACAGCTCCGCTGTAATAAATAAAATACCCCCTCTCCATACCCTCCCCTCCTCCTTTTTAAGAGCTGCACTCTAATTTGGCATTACAGAGAGTTGTAAACGTCTCATTTTTTGTTTGTTTTTTTACAATTTTTATTATTTGATATTTTGAACCATTTCATAAAAGCTACATTAGCATCAAGGTACTGCGGTGGGCTAGTTGGTTCATACTTAGTGTTTGAACAGCGCAAAGACGACAGGAAGATAGAAGAGAAGAGGACAGGACGAGCATCAGTTGATAGTCAGCGCTCGTCCTGTCCTCTTCTCTTCTATCTTCCTGTCGTCTTTGCGCTGTTCAAACACTACATTAGCATCATTTTTCCTGTGACATTTTTTGTCTTTTTTATCTTCTTCTCAGAAAAATTTTTAACCTTGTCCTTTCATCGAAACAATGGTTGAAAGTGTCCCGTCCAGCCGCCGTCCAAACAAGTAACGAATGCTTAGTTGAGGGAGAGGCGGGCACCTGGTGTGGAGCACAGTGGCCAGGTCGGACAGCAGGAGCCCCAGGAGGAAGTGCTGCTGCCGATACTCCGGGGAGAGCTCTGCAAAGGCGGACCGGTCCGTGAGGGTGGAGCCCGACACGGCCGAGCCCTGGGAGGAGGCGATGCTGGGACACGGGGAGGCGGGGGGCGACGGGGTCAGCGGAGTGCCAAAGGGCAGGTTCAGGGTCACAAAGTGCTCGTGGCTGCACACCACCCGCAGCAGGTCCAGCTTCAGCGAGGCCAGGCTGCTACCCTCCGGCAGCGCCTGCATCTTGGCCGACACCTGTTTGCAGAACGTCTGGGGCGGAACAGGGACCCCTATCAACCACCAACCTCCCCAAAAGAAAACCCCACGCACTTTTGCGTTCCTACCCAAAATTCTAACCAACTAAGTAGGCAGCATGCATCTATGAATGGATGCACTGGCTACGAATGAGTCTGCATTTTCCAACAGGGGCACTGCACGTGCACAAAAACCAGATCCGCACGAGGTGTCTGTGCGTGCGGCGCAACGTTGGAGCTGCGTGTTGACATATGGGGGCGCGCAAATATTAAAAGTTTTAAATAGATACTGAACATTTTTAAAATTGAATTTGCGTTTGATTAGAAAGTTTGCAATTCGGCACCTTGCAAATATTAGCTCACGGTCGTGACCAAGTAACGAATATTGGGGCAAAGAACGAATAAGCACCGCACAGAGTGCGCTGCGAGAATGCGCAAATTGTAAAAAAAGTTTTTCACGCGTCGTCTGAACTTATCCAGCAACCTCAAGCGAAAAACCCACCTATACCTGCTGTTGCGTCGAGACAAAAGCAAGTTTTCTTCGTGCGCAGTGTGCAGTATCTCTTACAAGATTCCGTTGACGAAGGAAGAAACTATGCTTTTCATGTTTAAAACGTTTACGCCTTAATAAAATGATGGCGAGCTCACCCAAAATTCACCCGCATATATCTTAAATCACCCCATAAAGGAGTCAATCGGTAATGTGAGAAGCAAGATTTTCTTAGTACAATCCTTGAGGTGAATATGAGCACAGCTGTTGGCAAGTGGGTTCCGGACATAGAGGGAGGGAGGCGCCCCCCACCAAGGGCATCCCTGCCCGTGCGCATCGCATGCTGCCCAATAATGGCGCCCGAGGTGGGGGTCGCTACGGTCTCGCAAGTTGCTGAGAATTCATTTTTCGTGCAAACTGCTCGGTTGTGGTGACAGTCTAGTCACAATGGTAAACCAGCAAACTTAAGAAAAAACATATCTGCCCACGAGCGGCGGCGTCATGACGTGGCTTCCAAACTGCCGTTTACCTCATCTACGCTGGTGCTTTTCGAGCGTCTACGGCTTCGAACGTCGCAAGCTCTTTATGTGTGCGCTCACGTCCAAGTCATTACCAGTGCCAATTGTTTGCACATTTGCTCGGGCACGTGTGCATGTGTCCAAGGAGCGCGAATTTTCGCCGTGTCCGGATATTTCATCCAACAGTTTAGGCCTAGCATTCCCGAACGTTTATTCAATCTGCGTGATTTCGAAAGCATATCACTCTGCCGCTGTTTCTTGAAGAAAATGACATCTGCTTCCATCATTGCAGTGGAAGAATATGGTGAGGCTTTCACTTGTGGTAAGATTGTGTTGCGTTGCGTGGTAAGATTGTGTAGCGTTGAAATCCACGTCGTCCCAGGACGGCATTCCATTCTTTCCATTCTGACCTGCGAGTCTGATATCTGCAAAATAAAAATAAACGAAGCTTGCACCTGTCAAAGTTGCCTGTCCGCTTACTGTTATGCCAGAGAACTACAACGTGACCCATGTTTCGGAGCAGTGGCAAAAACAGCCGACGGCGGTGGAGAAACTGCTGGCGTGATACCGACAGCTATTTTTGTTGAGAGTCCCAGCAATCGTTGTAGGACCGTGTATGTAATGTATGGAGGGATCGGTGTAGCTGCAAATGATGCCGCCATAGCTAAAACACTCGACATAAATGTTTCGATCGGCCGCAAGTGAGCAACAAGGAGCTGATTTTATGTGCATGGAAATCCCATTTTGCAATCCCAGCAAGAGCAGATGCCAGTGCTTCTTGACTCGCGACGTAAAATCAGGCTTTTTTTGTTGTTACAGCCGTTACAATCTATCTGTCCAGTCATCCTTTTACTCGATACATCTCACTTCTCCTGTCTATCATGGTGGGCACGTTAAGGAGGGTCACTACCCAAAAATGTGAATATTTGAGCCAGTTGTCTGATTTAAATGACATTGACAGGCCTTGTTTCTGTTGATGTCAAGAACATTTCTGACAAGTTTTGTTACCCTGGCTGAAGTACAAAAAAAATTGCAAATGTTCAAAAATGAAAGTGGGCATGTCTGCATAAGAAAACTATCATTTTGAAATTACTTATAAATTTGACATTTTCATATGTTATATTGCTTTAGAACAGGTCAGAGCAGATAACAATGGAGCTATATTTCTACAGTAAACTTTCGTTAGTTCGACCTCGGTTAATTCAATTTTTTGTTTAATTCCATCATGTCTAAAAGTCCCGGCGAGCGCCCATACATTTCTATGGGAGGAAAAGTTTGATAGTTTGAACTTGGGAAGACTCTGCATCGGATAATTCGTCCCGAGCGAATGCGTGCGGGCTCACATTGCACGGCACCACAGCGGAAAAACCACCAACGTACGGCGAAACACAAGCCCTTTACTGCAAAGCCGAACCGTGCGCAAATCTGCGTCTGCTCCTCTACGCCGTTGAGATGGGCCGTAGCAAATGACAAGAGCCAGCGCAACCAGTCTGGTGTGGAGTAGCGCGGAGAACATAGCACATGGTCAGGCGAGGAGACGGCGCGCGCTCTCAAAGTGCTTGTCTGTAGCATCGTGTGCGGTCCATCTTGTGAGCCGAAAAGCAACGGTTCTCTTTTCCCTTTTTTCTTTATTATTTTTCTCTGTCGCCGACGGTCTGGCTGCCCAGCGCCAAAGTCAACCCGTAAAGCTTTTTTATTTCTTTGGGGAGGGGGGGGCGCGATTTTTCGGGGACGTGAAACTTAGTTACACGGCTCTCCGGAGCACGCTTTTAGACACGCGTTTTAAGCGCAGACGGCAGTAGACCATCCGTGAGTACTTTGGACAATAAAAGAAAGCTTAATTTTAACTAATTTTCTTTCTTTTTTTTTTATTCTATCATTTGGATAATTCAACCAAATTTCAAGGTTTCGTCGAGGTCGAATTAACGAAAGTTTACTGTATATTATACCGTCTCTCGTGGCAAGAAAGTCACACTAACACAAATATTGTTTTTAGATTTCCATTCTTTGTCCAAAAGTTTTGTTCTTGAGCATGAAAAATGACAAAAATAAAAAAAATACAAGCTTATAGTTTTCTTTCCCTGAAAAACTCCTAAAAATGAATCCAGGTTACGTAATAACAAAACGATAGTTTTCCTAAAGAGAAATTTATGCCAAAAAGTAGAATGGGAAAAAAAAGTGTTCAAAGTGCTCCAACCTCTACCTTTTCTTTAGCATCTGTGGACCGAAAATAATTTATAAAAAATTACCTATGCAGTATAAACTAATTAAACTTTCTGGAATACTCTCTAGGTGTTGGTAGATGTAAATATGACATTTTCCAAAATCAATGTTTTTTGCAGAAATCGTTTTTTCTGGGTAGTTTCCCCCTTTAAATCCGCGCTCCTTTCTTCCTACTCCGACGCACCGAGTTTCATACTCCGAGCGGAGCAGCTAAATGGAGCATAGCGTACAGGAGAGCAACACGACGCTTCCGACCCCACGGTTATGACAAACTCGGCACCTCATGGATACTAATGGCAGAAGATGATATTCTTTCGAAGACAAATTAATTAAGGCCGCTGCGGAGCGGCACGGTGCAATTCTTAAAAAAAAGACGGTGACTTTATGAAGTTTCAACGAATGTTTTAATATTTGCGAAAAGTTCCAAGACTCGCTTCGAGCACATATGCAGAAAGTTACCTTGGCCGATCTATTTATTGACCATGTGCGCTGTTCAAATTTAAATCAAGGACAACGTTCTCGAACCCGCTTGTCGACGGAGGAAACTGTCAAACTTGTCAGAGGTTCCGTGGTTCTGTCTTGCAGAGCGAGACGGGACCCGTCGATGTGCTACGCCGATACCGGCACACCACCACTCGACAGATGGCTTGTCCATTCGTTTTCAGTAAAGGTGCGTGAACCTTTTTTGCAATGCTAACTGATGTTTCGGTTTTCCAACCAAAGTATCTTTGAAAATATTTTAAGGGTGCAGGCAAGCCGGTGAATATTAACCATGTCAATTTAACCTGAGACTGGGGTGGAGAAGAAACATCAAAACGTAGAAGGGACAAAAAATAGACGACATCTCCACTTCAGCTGAGGATGAGACGTCGTCCTGTCTATTTTCTGCCCCTTCTATGTTTTGTCTCAGGTTAAATCAACATGGTTAAAGTATCTTCATTCGCTGAGCTAAGCATTCTAAAATGGGCAGCGGTCTGGCTCATCTCAACCGCTTTTCTGTCGCTGAGCTTTGGGCATGCTACCGTTTGATCGATGAATTCGTTTTAAGGTGAGATGTACGAATCAACCTTTTTTGGAACCCAAATGAAATAATTTTCATCTGCTGGATTAAGCACTATTCAACTGAAAAGGGGCAGCAGTCCGGGAGCGCCCCTCGTCTCGACAACGTTTCGATTAGCACAGCCATCTTGCTTGTGGGCATGATGTCACGAAGCGCGAAGAAGTCACTCACGCTCCGAGTTCGGAGGTTCGTGCACCAATACTCGGTGCACGAAGAGAGCGAGTGTCAGTCTCCAGCGGCGCTCGTGTCCGTTCAGCGAATGTAGCACAAAGCTCTTGCGCTCTGGAGCACAGACTTAATGCACCCAGTAAAGGATGCCTTTTCCCACTGCAATTAGTTGTCTGATTTCCTACCCCCTTCCCCTTCCCTAGAAATCCCCATCACGTCCATGCTTGAGAACCACTGGAATAATGATCGCTACTACTTGGGATGGCTTACGAGGGAATTCGCTCCGAAACACTTCCCGAGTGGAGGCTTTGCACTAAGATAAATTCTCCCTCTTTTAGAAAAATTATTTCAAGCTCAAGGTAAAAGACAATAAATGCAGCTCAGAAAAGTTTTGAGGCTAGCCAATAGATGGCGTCAGCTCTTTGTGAGTGGTCACAAGTGGTCGTAGCGATCGCAGTAGAACTCAACAGCGCAGATGGGTGTGCGAAGGCATGCCACAACCTTCTGGCGTTCTTTGCAGGATGGGCCAAATAGAGAATGTGCAGGCACCTTGATGAGCTGGAAGACGTATCCCCTGTCCATGATGGAGAGCAGGTCGTACAGGAAGAACGCCAGGCTTGTGTTGAGATTCTGAACTGTCCGAAAGTCACGCACCTCCTGGTGGCACCGGCTGATGATGTCCGACGTCATCGTCGTCACCTGGAGTGAGCGATTTATTTGCACTTAAATTGGTGCGCACATGGCGGCATGCCAGGCAAAGCAGATAGATAAAAACCCTTACGCGTGTGCGCCGTCTAGCCTGCTGCCGTGTGCGTTGGGAGTTATAGTATTACCCCAGCTTTAGAACCATTAAAATTAGGATGGCAGTGATGATGGTGGTGGTGATGAGAATGATGTTGTTGATGACAATGGCAATGGTGATGATTATGATTTGAGAGGAAGAGGGGTTGAAGGAGTGAAGATCATGATGATGGCAGCAAACGCAAAGGCATTCGTCTCGCAAATACCTTGCAAAGTGCCCGGGATTCATTGTGTGATGTGGGCAGAGGGCTATGGGAAGCTAAAGGGACGGTCAGAAAGCTTCTAATGGCGGCAGGCAGCAGGGATTCCCTGTGACAAACACTACTACCTGCAAAGAAGTTCGGGCTAAGCTGATCTTCTAGCGAGGTGTACGGCGGCTGATAGCCGGGTCCCCGAAAAGTTCCCTCGCGCAATCGGCACAGCACGCGGATTCGAGAAATCCTTCGTCTCTGATCGAGGGGCCATTAGCCAACGGTTCTGAGCTGTGTGTGATGCGACACGTCGGTTGTGCCTGGGGACCAGGCACAGATTTTGCGGGTTGTGCGGTGCTGCACAGTCTCTCGATTAGGTGTTGTTGAGGGGGAGACCAAACTGCAGAGCAGTATTCCAACAAGGCAGGATTAAGGATGCAGATAGTGCCTGCAGGACCGCCGGCCCACCTGGCTCTGCGACGCAAGTGATGAATCCAGCGTCCTGCGGGACTTCGCGATAACACTTGCAGAGTGTGCAGAAAACTCCAAGTTCTAAGAAAACGTGACACCCGAGATGGACGGGTGGTCTGATGCGGGTAATGGAGTGCCTTCTAGAACACAACATGCCACTCAGTTCCTTTGCTCAACAACACATGTGCCTGCTGGCCCGTAAGGCCATCCTAAACATGCTTTCAAGAAGCAGCGCAGTACATATGCTCAGAGATTCCCCAACTCAGATTTCGGTCGAGATATATACCTGTTTTCACCTCAAGAAAAAAGCAAGGTTTGCTCAATGTTCATACGTTGCGTGAAGTAGTTCTTCTGACATCATCACAACCCCTGTGCAAGAAGCAGACAAACTTGCACTCCGCACAGCATTAAGGAGCTGGTGTAGCAGAAAAGCCGGCCTCAGTAACGTGATGCAAAAATCTAGATTGGTCGATAGGGTCATGACGTCACAGCCACATGACCTTGTGCGGGAATTTCAAACAACCGACAATGCTTTCGTGAAACGTGACATCACACGTGGAATGGAAGTGATTAAAAATTATGACATGTAATGCGTATTAAAGGTCACCGCATGTCTCGCATGATTCCACTTCATAAAGTAATTCCTCCGCCTTAAAGGGGTTATGACATGAATATTAAACGAATAGTTCATTTGATCGAACACACACCGCTTCCAGCTTGATCGAGTGGCTAGGAACTTTCGTGGTACAAAAAACATCGGCCACTTCTCAGATCCCTGGAACCACGAACAATGCTGGGCGATTTATTCCCAGGTGTGCCATTTTGCAAACTAGCCGTGCAGGCCGTCCTTTTTACCAAAGATGACAATTTTGTAGACGTCATAGCGATTAAGTATGTAAGTTCACTAAGTTGTTATGCCAGCCACCCCGGCCACGATAAGCTGGGCATTTGGGCTTGTTTAAATCAAGGTAGTGCAAACACCTCACTGCATGGACACGATGATCAAATAAACGATGCTGGAAGGACCTATGTTTGTTGCGATCCATACCCATGTGCTGCGAAACATGCCGACCTCTCCCCCTGACTGTTTGTGTTGCCGAAAACGCTGTTGCCATAGCAACAGCCACTCTCGCGGTAACCGGGAACTTGCGGGACACCGGCAGATTTGTTTTTTTGGCGTTTTCCTCTCCTCACTTACGAATAAGTTTGGGAATACCGATGTCAAAACTTGTTACAATGTGGAGATGACAGAAAAGGATGGAAATGAGGTAAAGCACACTTATTCTCTTATTTATCAAGGTGCTGCTTACCCTCCAAAATAATACTGTGCTTTGTTCGTCTTCTTGCCCCAGAATGAATTCAAAAAACCGCCATCATACTTGAGAGTCACGAGTAGTGCCGTCAAGTAGAGGCACAGCAAACCCAAACACTCAATTGCTTGGACCTTTTATGCTTGCAAAAGCTTAATTTTGTTTGAAAACAAATTAAAAAAACTTATTTCTAAGTTTTGTTATTAGAGACAAATAAAACGTGACCAGTGATTGTATACCATGATCAATAACAGAGATAAAAAGTTGTTGGTGTGCAAGCAATCGCCTTTTGCGAGGCTGCTTGTAACTGCTTGTAATCACAAATCTGGGGCGACTCACTAAGAGAGGGGCGGCCAAACGACAATGCCCCCTCCAGGGCTCTGGTGCCTGTGCTTGACCTTGTCCTAAACTTTGGTAGAAGTTTCGTGACCAGTAGTGTATCGAAGAACTCTAGCAAAAGTAGACTCGTAGCAGAAATTATACTACTTTGCATATCCGCATATCTGAAAAAAAAACAAAAAAACTTGACCAGCACAGCACGGACATGAAGTCAAGCATCCCCCTGGAGTGACCGCCAAAGTCAGCGAAGGTCCGTCCATGTAGGCAGGAGCGAAAATTAAACTCCAAATATCAAAGCCTGCTTCACAAGGCCACCAAGCTGTGTGAAGCATTGAAACGCTCAAACAGGTACATAAAAACTAGGGTGCCTGGAACGAGTCCCTGGCTGGTGGATTTACCGCTGCCCCATTTGCGATCTCTCGGCTTCTGCCTGTCCCATGCTGCTGGCTGCAACGATCCTGAATGGAGGCGGCCCTCCAACCTGACAGTACCCAAAAGCCTCAGTAGTCGGGAGCCGTGAAGCCGACAGCAACGCATTGCCGGAATTCGCACAATCAATCGCCAGGATCATCCGACAGCACGACACGGCAGTCCTGCATTTTGCTACCACTTTGAGAAAACTTTCGACGCAAGGGTGGCACGCTATAACTGCATCGGCCTAAGACACGTTCGAGGCGCCGTAAAAGGAACGTAAAATTGCGCGGGATCCTGCCACGTACCAGCGTCGTCACGTCGTCCGCAAACCGGCTGCTGAATCGCACCTTGCGCGGCACGTGGAGTCGCCCCGTGGCAGCGAGGTGCTGAGTCATGCTCTTCACGACCAGCTCCAGCAGGAACCAGGCGTTGGCGAGCGCCAGTTCTCGTGCCGTGCCGCTCGACACCACCCACTGGAGGACCAGCTCCTCGTGCACCAGCTTCCGCGATGGTCCGCCACGGAGGGGTGAGGAGGCTGTGCCATTGGCCGGTCGCATGCTGGCCGTGCGGTCCAGTGGACGCGGTGGACCTCCCACGAGCGCGCTCGGCTCCGAGTCCGGATCGTGCGTCGGCGACGAGCACGAGCTCGCCAGGTCCGGGTTGCTGCTGCTTCGGCCGTGCGGAGACTTCTGCGAGCGGGAGTCATTTTGGTGCCAGTCAACTTTTTGAAAGCTCGCTGAAAGTGCCTGGTCACGCAACGTTGCGGCACATGTCGTGACGTCGCAATAAGGTAAAGTGTTGCGTGACACAACATCACAATGTTGCGTCAAGGTGTAGTCTAAACTCGTTATAACAGACCTTGATTTTGACCAAGATTTCGGTCTGTTGTAAGAGAAGTATGTTGTATGCAAATATGAAGTTGAGTCAATGGCATGCAGAGGAAAACCAACCAAACTTCACAAATTGGTATGTTATATCCATTTATCTGTTATAACTAGGTCTGTTGTAATGAACTTAGACTATATCGTGCAAAAGCGGCGCCACGCGACGTCGCGCGAGACTGTGATGCGAGTGTGAACGTTGCTAGATTACCTCAGTTGTGAAACTCCCACGGAGGGAGGTGTCCCCCCTCACACCCTTCAGACTGCCTCCCGTTGTTTGAAGTGCCATCTAGGTTTTAGTTTGAAAAAACTGCACGTTCCATGGAGTATGGTGAAACGCCATCTAGACGCTGTGCTTCGAAACATATGTTTCATAGAGTACATTGCAATTACCGTAGCAGCCGTCTCCCAAAAACGGTGGTGCATTGGACGACGGGAGGCAAGCCGGGAGTGGGCACCGCACGTGCAAGCAGTGTCTTGGGCTGTTCCGTAATTGAGCTAATCTAGTAACATTGTTAGCCTGTCACGGCACAACGTCATATGATGTCACAAGCCACAGTGCCGTGTGCCACGTGACGTCACATGGAGAAAATCTAGCGGGAAAACTCGTGGAATCATTCTCGATTTGGTAACTCTATTTAATTCAACCGCGGAATATTTACATATTGGGCTCATTCAACTTACCTGCATCAGCTTGCACTAGTGCAGAAAAGTGCGGCGCAGTGCCATAAAGTATGGCGCAGTGCACTTCCGGTTGTGTTTTGCAAAGAGTTACAACGTACCGTAAAATGCCATGGAAGCGGCACTTTGTTCGAATGCCTACTAGTATTAACATATCTCAAACTTGGGAATTCTGAAAATTATGCCCCCGATTTGACTGGAGAAGCGCCCATGTCTAGATTAAACCAGTTTCCAGTGAAAGTGGCCACTCCCCCGGTATATTAGGGTCCGCTAAAAATTCGAGAGGTGCTAGTGTATACGAGACTTCCGGTTTATTATTGAAGCAGACAGCAACCAGTTCACTTTTACGGTGCTCCGTGCACCCCTATGGGAAAATGCGCATGCATTTTTTCTCTTCGGTGGAAAATAACAGGAATTATTTTTGTTACTTGGGTCGTGTCGAATATTAGGTAACTTTAGTAACACTATAAAAGCGCTTTAGTTACAGTATTTTTTTTTACCAGTGATCGATGTTTAACTCCCCCTTATTCCGGACCCAATCCTAGGTTCTTCTGTGACCCGAACGAGATTCACGTCGTCCGACTCAAACTAAGCTATGCTCCATAGGACTGGGAAAATCTGTGTTTTAGCTGACTCTCTAGTTTGCCTTTCTTTTGTATGGAGTTGTCAGTTTCATTTGGTGTTGCATCCAGACAATGCGTTTTTTCAAGAGGGGACTAATGCCACGTGCAATTTGCAATTATTGCAAATTATCATGCAAGAAAATTAATTGTTCCTCATGTTCAGTATATAAGCGCTTCCTTTTCGCAGTGACAACTGCTCTTGCAGTAGAAAACACCCTTACTCCTGCAGCAGAAATAATAAGGTCGCTGGAAAAGTGACTCACAATGCAGGCTTGACATAACAAAAATCAAAACTGCTCCTCTGTTGTGAGCTAATACATACATACCTGTTTGTACAATTCTAATGCACACTTCATTTTGCCAAAATCGGTGTCCAAAAATACATACGTGTAACAATCGAAACCAAAAACAGCACCTCAAAAGAAAACAACAAGGCATGTAGTTGGGCTAGTTGGTGGTGTATACTGTTTGGTGGGAACAGCGTAAAAAAGACGTAGACCAGGACAAAGAAACAAACGGACAGGGCGCTGACTTACCGTAAAATACCGGGCAAGCGCCCACTCAAACTTTGGAGATAATCGCAAAAAATGGGGGATGGGCGCTTGTTCGGTCATCAATTTTACATATAAATGTACTGTGCATATTTTCTCAGATCTCACAAATTTGGTATTGGGCACTCAATGTGGAATGGGCGGATGTGCGGTATTCTACGGTACAACTGAAAGTTTATTGCTCTGCAAAAAGTGAAATAAACACAGAAAGGAGGAAGGGAAGAGAACAAACAAAGCAACCCGATAACATTAAAACTTGGGTTTGGGCTAGTTGGTCCATTACTGAATAAAAGGTTTAAAAAGTGCGAACAGACGGGGACAATAAAGAAACACGGACAACAGAACAGGCGCTTGACTCTCAACTGGTTTTTATTAACACCCTTGTCACCTATATATATACAGATTGCCCAAACCACATCGGATTCCATCGCCACAATCGGAGCCGACCTTCCAGAAACACCATCTCACTCTGAAGCAAATACAAAGACGGAGCGCTGATGCAATTGTCTTCTTTCTTTTTTATGTAGAATGCCTCTATAATCTCTTTTTCCATTTTTTTCTTTTGCCATTCTTAAAAACTTTGTGCCAGTCAAAAAGTTTTTTTAAGAAAACAAAAAAGTTCTTAACAACGGCAAAAGAAAAAAATGGAAAGAGAGATTATAGAGGCATTCTACATAAAAAAGAAAGAAAACAATTGCGTCAGCGCTCCGTCTTTGTATTTGCTTCAGAGTGAGATGGTGTTTCTGGAAGGTGGGCTCCAATTGTGGGGAATGAATCCGATGTGGTTTGGGCAATGTGTATATATATAGGGGACAAGGGTGTTAATAAGAACCAGTGGAGAGTCAAGCGCCTGTTCTGTCGTCCGTGTTTCTTCATTGTCCCCATTGGTTTGCGCTTTTTAAACCTTTTATTCAACCCGATAACATTCGGCACCAGCCACGCCCACACCCTGTCACACGAACCTGCCACACTTTTTTTACGAAATATACCTCGTCATCTGTAAGGGCACCAGAAGGAGCGCTCACACACGTGTCAGCTCCGATAGACGCCATAAATTATGTTTCGTCTCTCTCCCTCGCAGTCTTGTTTTTATGACGAGACAAAATCTTTGCGTCTAAAAATGAAGGCGAGCAGTCAGTCAAGCAAACAGCCAGAGTCAACCTACGTTGCCTATGAAGGTGATACCTTTTCGCAAAAGAGTGGCAAGTGTATAGGGCCTAGCGTAGCGCCACTGCTTAGTGATATTTATCTGGCAAAGTGTGACAGAGGCATTGCTGGGAGACTGGACAGACGCATTTTGAATGTGCTAAGATCAATCAATCAATCAGCGTTTATTTCAGCTTGAAATACAAACTGAGGGTGGCAAGAAAAAAGCAGTGTCGTCCACTGCTTGACGGGCCTCGCCACCCTTACAAGTCAGCAGTGTAAACACGGTAAAAAATAATATATATACAAAATTAACAGTACAGACAAAATGAGTAAAGAAAAATTATAGAAAAGCGTTCCTAAGGACAGAAGAAGACATATCATTCAAGTGATCACATAGAGGAGTATTCAAAAACTTAGGCAAGATATATCGCAACATTGTAAAGCCATAGTTCGTTCTACATCTAGGTAAAACAAAGGTGCCTTTTCCCTGGTTACATAAGGTGTATTGTGGGGCACAGTAGAAACAATACGTGAAAGAAAATTATCATTTTTTGCTATTATATTTTTGTAAAAACATGCGAATCTATATACAAATAAATTATATACAGGCACAATTTTAAACTGTAAGTAAGCCTGCCCGGTTGGGGAATTATATGGAGCTTTTGTAATTCGCGACTCCAGCGACCTATAGGAGGCGCCACCACCAAACAAGCATGGCGGCTGAGTCCAGGTCGCGGCGGCTCGGCCGGGCCACCTGAACAGGTGGCGCGTTATATTTAATAGATTTTCTTTTGTTTAATGCCCAATTTTATAGGTATTTGAACTGAGATGGTTAAGTGTAGCCGGCACAGAAAAACTTGCAAAGCATAGTTTTGTTTTGCCGGTGTTTTTTTGTTCTTTTCGTGTCAAACTTTCGTTTCAGAGATTTCGTTCAAAACCAAAACTATGGGCTCCGGAGAGACGGTAATATACTAATCAGTTTTGATCATCTAAGGAAAGCGGCGATGACATCAGAATTGTTCCACAGAGAGTAACTTTTCAGCTAACTCGCATGCCTCGACCATGCGACTTTTCTGTCCGCAAAATGAGCTTTTGTGCGTATCCGCGTTTACGAAACAGCTCCTGTCGTCTGCTCGGCCAACAACACAGGCTGCAGGAAAATTACGAAAATTAAGCAACTGCTTCTTGAGCCAAGGACCATGTTAACCTGCCGGCGCCCCACTAAGCAGTTGATACTCGTATTTCGATTCAGGTTTCAGTAGCAATCGAGAAGTCATTTTGATGAGCAGGTTATGTATTATATTACATACTATGGGGGTCCCATTAAAGCAATATTAGTATATCCTTCGGGTTAAAATATGAGCTTAGTTGACTAGCTAGTAGGTGAGCTGCTGATTAAAAGTATATTTGACAGACGGAGACATACTACTTAAACTTAGCCAAATGGTTCTATAGCCGGCAGCACGAAGACAAACTGAAGAGAGTCTTTATTGAAGATCCGCACAGAACCTCTCTGCGTTGAACTTTGCTTCGAATCCTGAACGGAGAAAATTAGTCTTTTTTTGTGGCCGGTCATCCTGACCAATGTAGACGTAAATTGCTGCTGGCTTCGACGTCCTCGTAATATAAATATTCGAGGCGCGATAGGTCAAAATGCCGTGACAGCATCTAACGTTGCGAGACTTGTCTCCCACCTTTTGAAAACAGATAATTTCCCTCATTCATCATTTGCAGCGAGCAAGTTTTCCTGAATCAAGTAATTGCAAAATCAGCCCAACTCCTTCAGTGTGGTCCAAAGGCTTTTTCGGCGAAAAGCAGCCAAGATGAATAGCCAACGCACCGACCGGCGTGGGTGGCTCAAACTTGAAGCTAACCGAACACAACCAAACTCAAGAAAAGGAGCTATCGAACCTTCCCATTTACTTGACTGCAACATTGATGTTCCCTCCAGTATCAGTTACCAAGCAGTCGTCACTTTGAATGTGATTCGAGACAGACAACAAATCAAAAAGTTTTTCCGTGATTCCTCCCCATCCAAGAAATCGAAAGCACGCGACCGTGTGCTGTGGAGTAAACGGGCTTTCAAACACATAATAGAAAAAAACAATCTACTGAGGCTTCACTACACTAATGATCACTCAGGCAAACTTAAGAAATATTCGGACCTTCGTCAAATTACACTGTTCGCCACCGCACCAACAACACGTCTCCGTGAAAGCCACCAGAGACGCGGAGGGGCGCGGAGCGACCTGGACTGGCTGGTTCCCGGTTTTCCCGCTTGGTGGCGTCCGTTTTGCTGGAGTCGCGAATAGCACGTAGCATTTTCTTTTGCAAGATCAGAAGCTTCTGAATATTGGATGTTGTGGTATTACCCCAGACAAGAAAACAATAGCTTAAATACGAATAAAAGAAAGCGTAATACAAAGTAAGTTTATTTTTTTCAGGTAGAACATGCTTATTACGTGAGGTGATTCCAACAACCTTGGAAGGGGCAAGACAAACCTCATTTATGTGGGCGTCCCATGTCATCGTTGCAGTAAAACTTATACCGAGAGATCTAAACGTTTCTACATACTCGATAACGGTGTCACTCAAAACTAAAGGCGGTGGGTGCATTACAAGTTTTCCTTTAGGACGAAATATTACGGCTTTAGTTTTCTCTTTGTTTATTTTCAATCAGTTCACTAATGACCACCTTGCTAATAATGTCAATACTCGGTTAACAGTGCCAGTTAGTTCTTCAATGTCAGAGGAGGAAAAGAAAAGGCTCGTATCGTCAGCATATATAACGTATTTTGCAAGAGTACTAATATTGGAAATGTCATTTATATATATATATATATTAAACAAGAGTGGTCCAAGGATGCTACCCTGAGGGACACCACTAAGCATTTGAAGGGAATCGGAGCGAGAATGATTTATGACAACATATTGTAATCGCGAGCTTAAATATGACTTTATAAGGTTGAGGGCATGTCTTCATACGCCGTAATGCTCGAGCTTAGCGAAAAGTATTTTATGATTTAGAGTATCGAAAGCTTTACTAAAGTCAATAAAAATACCAAGAGTAAGACGTTGTGATTCAAAACTGTTCAAAATATATTCTTTTTGGGCAAGCAAGGCATGTTCCGTTGATCTATATGATTACCTTATTGTCCTTTTTAGACCCAGCCTTGACCATGACTGTGTTGAAGTGGTTAAAGAGATTGTAGACATTTTTACTGAATGTTCCCAGGGCCTAAGGTTTGAGCTCGAGGTCCCGACAGAAGGGGTTTTGCAATTTTTGGACATTAATCTCTGCCTTGGAACGTCACATGTATGCTGATCCTATGATCCCAGATCGAAGAAAGGGTTAGTTTCCTATAACCTCAAAATTGGTGCTAAGTCGTGCCTCTGGGCGTCTTTGTTAAAATCCTGTCACCATAGGTGTGGGTTAAGTTTTGTGACTCAGGTTGAAAGGCTTGCCTCTGTGGGCTTCCCTTCGGGGGTTGTTCTGGGTGTTGCTGAGTCCTTTGTGAAAATGTTTAGGGGGTACATCAGTCCTACAAAAAAAAGATCAAGGTACGCCTAAGCATTTCTTATGAGTTGTGAATGCGAAAGCATGCAAGCCGCTCGTCCACTCCCTTTTTCGTCTGCTGCGTACCTTTCGTCACCGGTCGGCGCATGTGCTCCCCTGGTGACCTTGGACGCTCCGCGCTGATGGACACGCAGCGCGATGGGGTGAGCGGTCATGGAAAATGACGAGTGCAACGGCCAATGGGAGCTTCACCGACGCGCGCCAGCCAATGGAACCGAAGGAAACGGGAAACTAGGTGCCGTTTTCGCACTTCAAACTGATGACGTCAGCTCGCTTCATGAGACAGTTAATGCTTTCGCATTAAAACAAAGGCCATCCCCCAGACCCGTTGCACTCCCGTATATCCATGCCTTGTCCCACCGAATCAAGCACGCTGCCAGTAAGTCTGAGGTGCCTGTTGTCTTCTCGGCGTCATCTAAGCTGTCCCACCTTTGTGCCGCTGTGAGTAGAGAGCCCTTCCGTTCAGTGTGACATCAAGCATCGCACCCCGTACGTCGCCTGTGCAAGCAGGGTTGTGTACCAGATCCCTCTGTCCTCCAGCTGGGTGTATATTGGTCAGATTGGGCAGTGTGTAAACATTAGGGGAAGGGAACATTCGCTTTCTTTGCGTTCCTCGCCCTCTGGGAACTTAGCAGTCCATTGTGATAGGTGTGGCTGCTCGCCGTCATTTCATGACACAAAGATTTTGTCTCATCATAAAAACAAGACTGCGAGAGAGAGAGAGACGAAACATATTTTATGGCGTCTATCGGAGCTGACACGTGTGTGAGCGCTCCTTCTGTTGCCCTTGCAGACGACAAGGTACATTTCGTTAAAAGGTGTGGCAGGTAACAGCGTACGGGCATAGCTGATGCCAAATGTTATCGGGTTGGTTTGTTTGTTCTCTTCCCTTCCTTCTTTCTGAGTCTATTTCTCTTTTTGCAGAGCAATAAACTTTCAGTTGTAAATCAGTGCCCTGCCTGTGTTTCTCCAACCTGGTCCTATGTCCCTTTGGCGCTCTTCCCACCAATCAAAAGAAAACGCGATACTCGGTATAAGGTGACTAGCCCCATCACCATTGTGACCGTTTGTTTACATCCGGTTCCCACTTGGCAGGTTATTTTTGGGTGGGATGTAACTGATGTGAAGCTAGGGGAACGCAAAGGCGGCGGATTGGGAGTGTTAGTGAAAGGACAGGGCTGGGAAAGGGTGAGGAAAAGCTGCAGAGAACATATCTGGTTAAAAGGTAATAGCGGAGGTTGAGACGCGCTCCTAGGATTTGTATATCTGAAAACAGGAACTGAATCAAAAGAGGAGTATTTCCAAGTATGTTGGAGAAATTGGCACTAATCGGGAAATAATTATCTCAGGAGACATGAATGCACACTTGGAAGACTTCGACGGATATACCATGAGTTATTGCAGCGAGTTCACTGTATTCCGCCGTGAGCATACGGACAGAATGGATGGTGATGTCTTGATACAGTCAGGGTGTTCAGCAGTGTTCCCGTCTATCTTAAAGGCTGCTGTTATCGCTTATATCAAATATTTCTGCTGTCCCTGTACTTAAGAACATTGCGGATACGGTTTGGATGCGGACACGAAGTCTGTAGATGCAGATTGGATGCGGATAATCAAAGTGTTTTTCGTGCAGGGCTTAACTTATATCTTATATGGGATTTATTTTTCAGGTGGTGCCGGTAGGATGTCCGACAGGTTTCGTCTCGCACTGCAAGATGGTACTACGGATGATCTCTGACAAGTTTGACAGTTTCCTGCATCAACAAGCGAGTTCAAGAATGCTGTCTTTCATTTAAATCTTACGCGTGGTCCATAAATGTATCCAAAGGTCAAGGTAAGTATCTGCATATAAGCTCGAAGCGTGTCTCTAAACCTTTCAGGAGCATTAAAACATTTGAAGAAACTCGATGAAGTCACCGTCTTGTTCACTTTGAAGTCTGCCGTTCCACAGATGCCTTAATTTATTTCCCTCGGAGAGCTGCTTCTGCCAATCACCTCCATGAGATGCCGTCATAACTGTGTGGTTGGAAGTGACTCATGCGGCTCCTCGACGGTTCCTCTACGCTCTGTTTAGTTGCTGCACCCGTAGTTAAAGGAGCACAAATGCAAGGTGCCCATTGAGACCCTGGGTGTAATACTGGCGCCCCCTGGGAAGTGTGGTAGGCAGTGAGACGTACCACAATGGGGACGGCGCTTGAGGCCCTCCCAATGGTGCCGTACACATTGCCGACAAGAAGCGGGGAGTCGCCGGAGGGAGAAGGCAGGTACGGGTCCGGGTGGGGCAGGGTGCACTGGTACTGGACGTACGTCGCCAGGAGGGCATTCCTCCCGTGCTGGTCGTTCTGGTCCTCCAGGAGCTTCTGCAACCAACAACCAAACTCAGATCGGCACAGTATGCTTCCCAGTGTTGGTGCACTGCCAATCCACTCTCAATTCATCGGTACTCCAGCATTCCTCTTTCTGGTCCCCGATTTGTTTCAAAATTGTCTAGACATATTTATTTATTAAATTTTCAATTTTTGACCTTGCCAGTTTGCAAAAGTTTGCAATGCAAAAGTGATGCCAGTGGCAGGCAGGGATTCACTCTTTGGGCAGTGGTATTTGTTCCGACTTGATTACGATATATATGATGCGCGATATAAACAAATGTGCGAAATACTTCGTTTTCTAGACTAACAGCTCAACCTGCAGGCCTGCCTGCCAGTGACGTCGTGGTACTGATAAGCGTGGATATATTTGAATGTTGGTTTTGGCACCTCCTCCACTTGGTGATTTGTTAGGGGAAGCGCACATATGCATGCACGTATCACGGGCTGCACCTCTCGAATGGCATGGGCGACCACTGTAACCGTTTCGTGCCGACCCCGGAAGATGGCGCAGCGGCCGCGGGCGGGAGCGGCGACGCGGAGGGAGGAAGGGGGTCGTCGGGCGGAACGAGAGGCTTAGCGACAGGAGCGATACCGCTGCGCGCGGGTACGTGAAAGAATAAAGTGTTTGAGAGATTTCTTGCGTGTGAACACGACCGAAGCAACCAGTGACGAGGTACGTCACAAGTGGGGGCTCGTCCTTCGGACCCGGACCTTCAACAAGCGCGAAACCGACGTAAACAGTCCGCTACTCGGTTTGGCCACTTTAGCTCTTCGGGTTCTTTGTGCCCACCCTCACGCCCGCACTATGGATCAAGCGACCCCGTCCAGCGTGGCTGCGCAGTTGCTCAGCCTGACTGACGGGACTCCCCTAGACCGCGAAAGAATGGCAGCGACCGTCCGCGACCTGCTCCTGAACACGCCGATGGAAGTGCGGCAACCGGCGACGGATCCCGCGCAGCCGACGCCGTGGAAGTGCGGAAATATCCAGTTGCCAAAGTTTAACGGATACGAAGACCACCAGAACCCCAGTGAGTTCCTCGAGAAATTCGAAAATTTCTGCCTGGTCGCGGGAATCGGAGGCGACAAGCGCGTTCGCCAGGTGCTTCCCGCTGCATTGGAGGGCACTGCCAAGCTTTGGTGGCGGTTCTCCGGCGGCTTTGAAGACTGGGACACATTTACCAGAGAGTTCCATACAGAGTTCGCCTCCGTCGACTACAAACATCGGTTAAAAGAGGAGCTCGAACATCGGACCCAGCACCCGCAGGAGAACCTGAGCCACTTCATTCATGTCATCGCGGAGTATTTTGACAGGATAGGCGAAACCGTGTCGGACGCGGACAAGGTTGCGAGGGTCCGCAGACAAATGCATCCCAAATTCCAGGACTTGTGTGAGGGCATGACCTTCGCGAACCTGCGCGAAATGGCCAAGGCTGCGGGCGGCGTTATGGAACGTGCGTGGCACCGGCTGAAGTATGTGCCGCCACCAGCGAGAACGGACCAGGTGGCCAGGGATCTCGCGTTCGTCAAACACCATTCAGTCGCCTCAAACCCCGGCTACGCACTGAGTGCCAGCGTCGGCCCCTCTTCTGCCGCTGCCGCCCTGGCCCAGGGCCACCCACCAGCTCCAGCAACACAGAATGCCGGCATCGGTCCCCAGCCATGGTGGCCCCTGCACCCAGCGGCAGTGCAGGCATCCCACTGCAAGACTCAGCAGCTGGCCACAGCCCCGGCCCCTTTCTCACCCGTACCACACCAGCTACCACCGTGGACCTTCCAGCAGTCCCAGGCACCGACAGTCGTGGCCCCATACCAGCCCACGTCCCAACCAACACCGCAGTGGATCCAGCCGTGGGCCTCGGCGCACACCAGTATGGAGCACCAGCAGTGCCAGCGCTGTGGAGGCACGGGGCATGCGGCACGGAACTGCGCCACAGGAAGATCACGCAACCAGCCCCGCTGTTACCGCTGCAGCCGGCGAGGACATCTTCAGGCCAACTGCCCGGGAAACGGGCATACGTAGAGGCTGCCCCGGCCAGCGTCTACGAGACTGCCCTACAAGTGGCAGCAACAGCCGGAGGGAAGGAGCCCCTACTGGAGCTCTCAATAGGAGACAGGGTTTTTCACGCCCTCTTAGATACAGGATCCAGCGTCAGTTTGTTCGGAGACCCAGCTGTGGCTGCTGCCCGAGCGACGGGTGCAGGACTCAGAGAGGAAGCCCACTCCCTCCGGTTGGCGACGGGATGGTCCAGCACCAGCCAGTCCATCAGGTGCCGGATTCGTTGGTCCGGTGGATGCCGAAAACAACGCTTCATCCATATGCCGGGCCTATGCCGCGACGTGATACTTGGTCGAGATTTCCTAACAGCCTCCGGTATCTCTATCCATGTGGCCCAAGGGGGCTGGACCTTGGGTACAGAGATACAACAGCTGATACCATTCGCCAAGACATCTGGGAAACTCCACTTGCCCCAAGCTCATGAGGTGTATTCCTTGGAGGGTCTTTTCACCGTGCCCGAACAGGTTGCTGCCCTGGCTGAAGAACACAGTGAGCCCAGCGGGCACCCTGTTTGGCCCGCAGAAATCGATCCACGTATAGCAGCAGTGCTGAGGGACCATGATCAGCTCTTCACTGCACGACCTGGATGTACCCCACTGACTCAGCATAGCATCAACACTGGGAACAGTCCCCCTGTCCGCTGTAAAATGAGACCAGTCAATGCTGAGAAAAGGGCAATCATCGACGAATGCATCAGAGAGCTGCTTGAAGAGGACTTGGTGGAGCCAAGCACAAGCTCTTGGGCCAGCGCCCCTGTTCTCGTGGCCAAGAAAACGGGTGGCTACCGCTTAGCCATCGATTACAGGCCACTAAATGCCAAGACCGACGTCCCAGCCTACCCCATGCCACGCACAGACTGGGTCCTTGCCCAACTGGGAAGGGCCAACTGGTTTACCAGCCTGGACCTGTCCCAGGGGTTCTTCCAGATCCCAGTAGCTGAGCAAGATATTCCCAAGACAGCTTTTCTCTGCCACCAGGGCACGTTTCAATTCAAACGAATGCCTTTCGGTGTGGCAGGAGGCCCAGCTACGTTTCAGGCCCTAATGGACAAGGTCCTCGAGGGAATAAAACACAAGCACTGCATGGCGTTTCTTGACGACGTCTTGGTCTACTCTGAAACCCTCGAGGACCACATCAAGCACCTGCAGGACGTGCTGCACCGCATCGCCCGAGCAGGGCTCACTATCAACCCAAGGAAGGTGCAAGTATGCAAACGGTCCCTCAAGTTCCTCGGCCATGTGATTTCCCCGGGCAGATGTCAGCCAGATCCCGATAAGGTACGAGCGGTTGAGGCCTACTCCGATCCAACATCTGTCAAGCAGCTGCAGGCATTTCTGGGATTAGTGGGCTATTACCGCACCTTTATCCCCAGATTCTCCGACATTGCGAAACCACTGACAATGCTGCTTAGGAAAGATGCCCCCTGGACATGGGAGCAGCCACAACAGACAGCCTTCCGGTCCCTTAAGGCGCAACTAGCAGAGAAAGCTGTAGTTTCTCTGCCCGACCTTAACCGCCCTTTTGTCATCGAGACGGATGCCAGCGGCATCGGCATCGCCGCAGTCCTCCTGCAAGAACACGACGGTCAACTCAGGCCAATCTCCTTCATCAGCAGAACTCTGAATGACGCCGAACGCAACTACACTGTTCAAGAGTGGGAATGCCTAGCAGTGGTCTGGGCTCTGGACAGGTTTCGGCCATACGTGGAATTCACCCATTTCGAAATCCACTGCGATCACGCATCCCTCGCTTGGATGTTCAGTACAGAACAGACATCCAGCAGGGTCAGAAGATGGGTCCTGCGATTGCAAGGGTTCAATTGCACTATCAAGCATCGAAGAGGGAAGGCCAACATCCCGGCGGATGCATTAAGCCGTTGCCCGCTGCCCACAGCAGACGTTGCTGCACCATCCGTCGCAGACGACTGGTTCCCGATCCAGGTGGACGAGCCGAGTCCCTCTATACATTTCGAGGAACTGGCAACCCTGGAGGCCAACGACATATCACTACTCCGAGACCCAGACAGGCTGGCAACAGAGCAACTTAAAGACGACCGCTTGAGAGCAATAATCGACTTTCTAAAAACGGACTCGCTCCCGTCCGAGGCCAAGGAAGCACGCATGGTACGAGACCTGGCAGAGAGCAGCGAAATAGACACCACGGGCCTCCTGATGTACACGGGGCGGGATGCCAAAGTCCCCTGGCTACCACTGCACCTGAGGACGTTGCTTCTCCAGATGGAGCATGACCATCCACTGAGCGCCCATGCGGGCTACTTCAAAACACTCCGACGCGTTCAGGGGAGATTCTATTGGCTCGGGATGCAGTCCGACATACCCCGCTATGTCCGGTCGTGCAAGTCTTGCCAAGCCTTTAAGCCACGCCGACAGAAGCCCAAGGGTCTCATGGATAGTTCGTGGGCAGCAAACCCCATGGAGCACCTAAGTGTCGACCTGATTGGACCTCTCCCCACCACAGCACGCCAGAACAAGCACATACTGGTTGTTCTCGACAAGTTCACCAAGTTTATTGAACTCTACCCCCTTCGTGCACCAACATCCCGAGCCATTGTGGAGAGGATGGTGGACGTCTTCTGCCACCACGGTGTACCTCTGACCATTTCAAGCGACAATGGCAAGCCATTTGTCAGCAAGTTATGGAAGGGCGTGATGACAGCTTGGGGCATCAAGGACCGCCACACCGTAGCCTACAGACCAGCAGGTCAGACCGTCGAGCGGCATAATGCTACAGTGAAGCAGGGAATCGTGGCATACTGCACCACCCACCGGGACTGGGACAAGCGCCTGCCAGAAGTAGCATTCGCCATGAGAACCTCCGAGAGCGTGGTGACTGGCTATACACCTGCCTTCCTCTGCTATGGCCGTGAGCTCCACACTCCCTGGGAGTTCAGACCCTTGCAGGAACATCCGGAGGC